GTTGTACAGTCTTCAAAGCATCTATAGTACCTTGATACGTCAATGGGGTAATCTATGTAAGGTGCAGACCGCGAAGTGTGACTTCGACGTTAGCTAGTTTGTCACACCACTCACGTCTAATTCGAGTAAGCCTTCAATCATTTCGACGTAGATCATCCACACTGGTGATCTACACTGCTATTATGTTTAGTGGAGTTCCAGAAATTTCCAGAAACCCAGTCACGTAAAATTACATAAATACCCTAGATTTTCTGCGTATAAATGAATCTTTGAAGTAAAGTGTTTCTTCTATATTTCACTCCTTTTCTCTTAAATGGTTCAAATGATTATAGACGGAATAGAAGAAGTTTTCGCTAAGCAGTGGATCTGTGGTGACATTTGGCCATACCACAATACAATATGGGAAATAGACATTCTACATTGGACGCGGAGAAATACAGAAGAATGGAGAAAGGCGGTGTTATAACGCTTAAACGATTATCTAAACTAGACCCCTCCCAGTGTCTATTCTACAGGACTTCAACACAACTCAGATCAAGAACACGTAATTAGCCTGACCAGAACGTGAATATATTTTCACACCCAAAAACCCGACACAATCCACAACACTGAACAATCAATAATAAGAGGATGTATATAAGCGTGTCACAATAATAAGGGTAAGGGAATATATAACTTATCTGACACCTGTGAGACTGTCTACATGTCTGACTAAGCAGACAACCAATCACGATCGTTCTCGCCCACACATCAGGCGGGAACAATGAGTGTGAATTAATCGGAATTGATCGGATGGCATGGCTCGGCCAAGCAGGCGTGCTCCCTGCTCACTATCACCTCTTATATTTTATTCATATGAAATATATTGTTGCATCTCTAGCCTGAAATTCTTCTCCTTCATCTGTTGGTAATTGTTAAGATGCAGTGAGTTGGTGTAGAAGATGATGTGATTTGCACGTGAGATCTTATAGATTAGGCACTCTCCATCCAAACCTGACCTGGCCAATCCTTTCCAGCTCTTTCGAGTTGCTATTCACCCTTTTAATATCTGCTTCCATTTCCTGACGTAATGTGCTCTTTGACTTTCCTCTTTTCCTCTTCCCTTCAGGATTCCGAGTTAGGGTTTGCCTCATAATGCAGTTCGGTGATTTACTCAATGTATGTCCTATCCATTTTCATCGTCTTTTCCTAATTTCCTCTTCATCTGGAAGCTGGTTTGTTCTCTCTCATAGTAGGCTGTTGCTCATGGTATCCGAACAACGGATATTGAGTATCTTGTGTAGACAACTATTTGTAAATACTTATACCTTCTTGATGATGGTTGTAGTAGTTCTCCAAGTTTTAGCGCCAAACAGTAGATCTGTCTTAACGTTCGTATTGAAGATTCTCACTTTAATATTGGTTGATAGTTGTTTTGAGCTCTATATACGCCATCAAGTGTGACTGAGTTGATGTTCTCTATGTTGTATTTGGGGACCTTGGTTTTCTCCCTTTGTATATTGAGGCCTACTGATGCAGAGGCTGCTGCTACACTAGTTTTCTTTTATCTGCATTTGTTCGTGTGTATCATAGTAAGATATTATCCTTGGTCCTTAATAATAGGTTAAGTTTGCTCTTAAAAGACTCTTTGGAAGTCGCTTGGACTAGCTCAGCTGGCAGCAAATCCCATCATTTGACAGCTCTTAAGAAATATAAGTTGTGTTTACAGTCCGTTCTGTTATGTCTTGTCTCAAGTTTCAGGGTGTTACCCCTTAGGTTTGTGTTGGAGTTAAACTCAAGTAGGTGTTTAAGAGGATGTCCGGAAGTGTTAAGGATAATGTAAGTCGTTTGAAGATCACCTCTAAGACGCTTATACTCTAATGGGTAAAGATTTAGTGATTGGTGGCTCTCTTCATAAGGCTTGAATTTGATTCCTCAAACTGATTTTCTTGCTAGCCGCTCCAGAGTGTCCTTATCCTTTTTGGAATGATAAAGGAAATACTATGATTCTGTACTCTTGATGGGGATGAATGAAACTGTGGAAGATTATGTGGAAAGGTATTCTGTCTTCTGCCACAGTTTGACGAAACGCGCGTTCCGGATTTCACTGCTAGCCACTATCCATCTTTGCTTTTATTAGTTAATAGTTTAGCTTTAATCAACTCATGAATTCATCTATTAAATTACTACAAGCTCCACAAAACCATCCTTTCTGAAAATAAAACAGAGGAAGGCTGGTTTCTTCCTATTTAATACGTATCAGTGAGATATGTCAAATTCCTAATTTGAATGATATTTGACATCATCTTAGTTAATTATGATTGATTGGACTTAGGGGGTTGGTGTGTGCTAATGTCCCAAATCAATCACTTTATATGCAAACTCTTGTTGGTTACACAGTATTACCTTCATCGGATTTCTAATCAGAAGACAAGAATAAGATAGTCTAGTAGATCTCTCTAGTGAATGGAAACACCAGTGGGAACAATCGAATCTTATTAAAATCTGAGAACCATACACTAAATACTTCATTTCCAAAATGTCAATCAATCGATTCAGATTTCACTGTTCCTTCATTTCCATATCAATTGCTTTCTGTGCCCGTTCCTTCCTTCTCGATCTTCTCGACCTTCTTCTGCCAGACATTCTGTTCATGGCTAGAGTTTAATACTACTTATGTTGATATAAGTAGTACACACCACAGTTTGATGTTCCTTGACGGATTCGATGCCATATCTCCGAGCTTCACTGCCAGAGACGTTAGTGAGTACAATAGATGGACAATGATAGTAGATAAATGAACCTCCATACTCATGATGTTCTATGCGAATACACAATATGAGACCAACAATTGAGAACTAGACACTAGATTAGACTTTGTGATTAGAAAGGTTTTCTGGCATTTACGTTGACACATATATCATCAACGATCACACTATGATTTGACCTTGGTCTAATATACACTGAGAACCAAAATGTATTAGACAGCTGTTTTGTTCCTGTATGAGAGTATTGAATAGTGCACATGTAACGTCTACAGTAATAGTTATAGTCATGTTCTCTAGTGACCACTTTTGCAGTGTTATTCCAGAACTATATATGAGGAATACTATCTAGTATAGTTCAACAATATCAGCAGTGTATCAGTTACCACCAGTGTTATTGAAAGATGATTGAGTATTATAGCATACTAAGTAAGGTTAAGCATGACGGCTCTCTACCACAATTAAAGATCCTGAGTTTCATCTTCCGTAGGACATTCGATTCACAATTCTGAGTAGTCCAATATCAGGAAAAATTAACTATCTAATGTTTGTTGAAAAAGTAACTAGGGATTTGTGTTCACTTATTTCGAGGTTATGGTCGACCTTTGAGCGACAATAAATTGATCTTGAAGATGTCCACCTAGAAACTAGGACTAAATGAGGATCATAAACCAGTATGAGGAATCCGAATTATGATTTACAGTTGATGGTTAAGGTTACGAATCGGATTTAGTGTTTTCATCACGAACGGACATCAGCTATGATGCCAAAACGTTACTAAGCTAAATGAATGAATGAATTTCGCGCCAAAACCCAAGATTCGCTACCTTATATCTGATTAGTCCGTCTGTAAATGATAGTCTCTCTGTGTTTAAATTGATATCATAAGGAGATCAATGTTAGACTATCATTGAAAATCTGGAAGCATTGGACAACAGTTTCGTCCTAGTATGGGACTCCTCAGAACTGCAAATCCAAGAAGTGTTCGGTAGAAGTATTCTTCATATTATCTTTTTTGTGATATTATCAGCTGACTGTTTTCCAGTTATTCTTGTACGAAACATAGGCAGTACGATAATGAATTAGCAATTTGTAATATACTACTGACAAATTATCAGTAGTACACTTTTGTTTCGTAAAATGTAAGCCTTTGTACATTAGTGCATACAGTAATTCTGAAATGAATTACAAGCATCCTATTATAAACTGAGCTTACTCTATTCCGACTTTTTCACTATTGCTATGTGAATCAAAATCCTGTAAATCAATCTGATACATTCACTTGGTATTGTTTACTTGAATGTTTCCATTGATGTTTAAGACTGAAATTGATCAGTCTCGTATTGGCATGTGTACGTAATGTGCGTATTGCCTTGGTATTACCTTAATTTATAAGTGTTCTAATCAAAGGTGGATAATGGCTATCAGTGGAATCCATGACGCGTGTTTCGTCTTTTTTGTAACTCTTCAGATGGATATACCTGGATCTCAGACTTGTTGATGTTCACTCCAGGATTCGAATCAAGTACAACTCGTTTCATAAGCCCCTGCGTTATCCACTTAACCAATAAATTCTGATAGCTTCATGCTTGTGTAATGGAGTGAAGTTCAAATTCATTTTGTATTGTTTGTTTGAATCTTCCCATTGATAGGAAGTTTCAAGTGCACAATACCAAGTGAATTTAAACTACAGCCCATTGCACAAGTAAGTGGCTATCAGGACTCAGTAATTAAATGGATAATGCGATGGAATTTGAAATCAACAATAATGGGTAGGAGTCTCAGAGTGAATATCAACTCTGGGATGTAGGTACATTAACCGATGTGTCCTAAATAGGACGGAACGCGCGTCCTGGATTCCACTTCTAACCACTATCAATCTGTGCTTAGTCTGATACAGTTCTGTTACTTTCTATCTGATAAACAACAAGTCCTTGAATATATGTCGAATAGTCAATGATTTGTCATGGGTACAATTAGCTCAGTGTTTTTTTGTCATTGTAACTTTCAATTGATTACGACTTTCGCTGTTATTTTGTTTGAGCTTACAATCACAGTATTATTAATGTACTATCGTCTTGATGGCGTTTACATGTCTATGTGTTTTTGATGGAAGTGTTTAAGGTCACTTAAGTTGTACTCATTGCCTTCTCGAGCCAAGGGTGTTGTTTACGAAATCGAGAGGACGAAAATCGAATGTCCAACACGGACCTCAAGCTGGTTGGTGGATACGGAAGATCCACCTAGGCGAGTTGGAAAACCCCCATTCCAAACCAATGGTGTACGTGGGTTCCAGAATTTTGAAGGAACAGTTGGCGTATCAATCAATTATTGTTCACCGACTAGCACGAGACTGCATCTCCTGATGTTGCTTCACTGGCTTATGGATTATATCTCTAGGTCGAAGGCTTTGGGAGTTTCCTCCTAACAAAACCACTTGCTTCGGTTAAGACACCCGGTCAGTATCCTAAATCACACACAAATCAAGTGATTTGTGTAGCGCATATGTAGTCGGTGCTGCTTTGTACCAATATTTTTTATGTTCAAATAAATAAACGAGGTCAAGAATGGATAAATCGACCTTTCCAGTAGCTAGAATAAGTTATGTGTGGGCTTAACAATAGCAACCGACACTACAGAACACTCTCATGATAAACTATCATCCAAAACAAAACGAGCAAGTTTCCTTCCTTCCTTCCTTCCTCCCACCCTTATTGAAAAACCACAGATGTATCACATACTTCACATGGAGCTTCGCTAGAGCTATTGCCAGTCCTAAGCCCTGATATAGGACCAGGGTAAAGTATGGGGTTGATGACCCCATCCCGTAGAAAACGAACTCGCTAAATATATCACATATATACTTGTATATTTATATTGCAAAAAAAAAAAACAAAAATAAAATAGAGAAATCATTCATTCAGTCATTCATTTGTAACTAAGTTATACAGCTAAATACAATGGAAAACATTATGAAAGGTTATATGTGTATATATATCAATACATTTACAGGTAAGTAAGTAAGTAAGTAAGTAAGTAAGTAAGTAAGTAAGTAGGCAAGTAAGTAGGTAAGTAGATAGGTAAGTAAGTTAATATACATTTATGAATAGAACATTCTTACAAAAATTACATTCAAAATGGTAAGTAACTGTTGGAGTTGTGGTCGAGATAACTTCAGTTTTTGATTCATCTATTATCTACTGACCCAGAATTGATCATATTTCGTTGTAATAATGCTTTCTAAATAGTGATTGATTTTTTTAGAAAAAAAAAAGTCGAATACGAATTAGATTAGTGAATGAACATTCATTGATTATAATTTTCTAAATAGAGATGATGAATTGATTGATACTAGGTCACGTTTGGGTCCAAGATGATTTCTTGGAGTTCAAGTGAAAAGACATGACCAGAGAAGTTCATTCCCATGTCGGATAGAGAGTGATATCTACCTCAATACAATGAATGAATGGTTGCGTAACTATTCATGGATCAATGGAAGTTAAATATTAGCACTATTGGATGCCACTTTAGTGATCTACTGGTTAAGAGTATTTACGTGAGATCGAAGATCCTTATGTGCGGGAACATGGGTTCTCACTAATTACTGAGGAGTTTCATACTAGGACGAAATGGCCGTCCAGTGATCCAAGATTTTCAATGATGATCTAACATTAATTGATTCATGATCTCGATAAAAAATTTAACAATATCCATGCTCCCATACTGATGATCATTTTTTATTAGGTATTTAAACCAATAATTCTTATAAATAAAGCTTATAAAGAACTGATACTAACTAGGGAACCATTGAGAATTAGTATTTATAGTAGAGTTACTTCAGTGACAGTGTTCTATCAATATTAACTAAAGTTGGAAATACGTACTTTACGTATTGGATACACACTGCCGAAGAGTCTTACAATAGGACGAAACGGCCGTCCAGTGCTTTCAGGTTTTCCATGCTGATCTAACATCAATCAGTTCATGATCTCAAATATTCTGATTACTAGACGTTTTAATATTTGTGTTGACACTTTCCTCAAAGTTAAAACTCAAACAAGAAAGCCAATATAAGGCTGTTTGCCTTATGAATATGTCCGGAAACGATAATAATAATAATAAAGTTATAACGTTCGCGGAGGATATTTAGTACTACCGATGATGAAGACTAACATTTTCGAAGTTATGCAGTATATGGAAATTTAGATTAAGAAGCTATGATGCTAGCGTTTTAATGATAACTAGTTATAAAGGCAACTCTATAAGTTATATTCCAGGAAACGGTAAACCGGTCATTCGTTTTACATGAAAAATATGAACTAACCAATGAGTTTATATATATGCCAGTGATAGAATATATTTCCATTACATGAAATTTAGCGGTACACTTTTGGCTACTTATAAGTAGTCCAAAATAGATTATGAAAAAAATGGCTATTTGTTTTTTCTCATACACAACACAGCTAGATTAAGTGAGCTCAAAATCAAGGGGGACAATAGTAGAAGTTTGCTAATCATTTTTTCTTAGTAATTTATGATTATTTGTATCATTTTATGATAGTTAGAGGTAGATAGAGGTTAGACATTGATTGGCGAGTCTTCAAAATTCATTATCAAAATTTATCAAAGGGACTAACCATTATTATCTTGTTATGTGGTTAGTACCAATGACTGCTCTTAGTTAAATAACTGTTGAGAACCAGGATTTATTGAATAGCTGTTCCATACTAGTATTGGACTCTTAAGAAGTGCACTACTTTTTAATGTTATCAGTAGGTAACTGTCTTAATCTAGATACGGATAAACTTAACTGACTATGCATATTCATGTTCCCCTTATAATAAGCTTTATTTTGACACATAGACTATTATAATACGATTTACCATTCTTGAATTATACCCAGTCTATTCATTACAGTCTCTTACATGCACAGCCACTTTTGACTTGATCTTGTACAAATGTTGTTTCCTATTTTATAGTACGATGTGGTCTGTTTGGTTTGTATTTAAACCCAGTATGTTTGAAATACATAATTCATATCGCAGAGGCTGAGATTGGTGTTCCGGATTCAACAGGTTGGGCTAGGCAAGAAGTAGGACCGATAAAGACTCTAGATTGCTCGTATTGGTTTATGCGTCATTGGTCCGGTCGATAAGCCACTGTCCTCTAATTATCAGTATCAGTACGTTATATATTAATAAGACACATGACCACAAGTTATAACAATATTGAATTAATGTATCATACAGATCTGAGAACATTCACATAGTAATAATGTCTCATTATCTCCCTTTATCTCTATCTCACTTACCTGTATACTTCTGAGCATATCTTCAATTGTTGTCAGTTGATTTTGAAAATCCTCCTGACGTAATGAAATATCAGCAACTCTTTCATAAACATTTGTTTGAAGCTATTAGAAAGGAAAATAACATTAATGTAAATGAAGCTTAGAATTTGCTCAATGATAATTCTATTTTAAGAAGATAGTTAACATGAATAGTTTAAACCATGGACGATCTAGATTTCGCAAATGATATTGTGCTTCTATCGCACACGTAGCAACAAATACAAGAGAAGAAAACCAGTGTAGCAACAGCCTCATCAACTGTAGGTCACAAAATATACAAAAGGAAAGCAAGATTAATATCACATGGGTTTTGGCTATATTGTAGTAATTTCTGTGGTTAAGATCATGAGTCAGTTGAAGCTAGATCACCATGGAAAACATGAGAGTACTGGACAGCCGTTCCGTCCTATTGCGAGTCTCCTCAGTAGTGCTCATCCATGACGCCGCCCCCTACGAGACCCGAAACCAGGACCTACTGGTTTCGCGCGCGAGCACCTAACCACTAGACTACTGAGCCGGCATCCAACGGTGTTAATGTGCTAACTTCAACTAATCCACGAAATTGAGCGACACATCCACCATTGTCTTCAGTGAGTTACTATCTTACAACAGACCTGGTTGGACTCCACTGGTTACTACTTCTCACTAGAACTCTAGGATATACCTCTTGAAGCCAGTCACTAGTGAGCATATGTTGATTAATATCAGAATCTCTCAGGAGGTGATGTGGATGCGCACTGCTGAGGAGTCCCACAATAGGACAAAATGGCCATCCAGTGCTTCCAGGTTTTCCATGGTGGTCTAGGTTCAACTGATTCATGATCTTAACTATTGAAAAGCAAGATTCTCCGATACGACACAACATGGACTAATCAGATCACGCTTGACGGAGAAGCTTTGGAGGGTGTAAAACCTTCACATATCTGGGCAGCACGGTGGATCTAATGCAGATACGAAGGTGTGGATCGGCAAAGCAAGAGTAGCATATTTACAACTGAAGAACATCTGGAACTCAAAACAACAGTCTGTCAACCAATATCAAAGACACAATCCTCCATACCAATGTCATGACATTTCTGTTGTATGGGGCGGGAACCTGGAGAACTACAAAAGCCATCATCGAAATGGAACAAGTATTTCTAAACCATTGTTTACACAAAATACTCAATGTCTGTTGACTGGATACCATCAGCAAACAGGCTACTGTAGGAGAGAGAAAATCAACTTCCAGCTGAAGGTGAAATTAGGAAAAGACGTTGGAAGTGGATAGAATACATATTTCGGAAATCATCAGACTGAATCACGAAGCGAACACTAACTTGGAGTTCTGAAAGGACACAAAAAAATAGGAAGTCCAAAGAGCACACTATATCGAGAATTGGAAGCAGACATCAGAAGGATCAATAGCGTCTGGAAAGAACTGGACAGAATTATCCAGGATCGAGTTGGATGGTGAATGCTGCTACACAGATAATAGAAGTTTTCTCACTACATATTAAGTTATAAAAGTCTTAATAATTGTTTGTTATACGTGATTATTGACACATGGTACAGCACACTTGATTGGAATGTTTCATAACTCCTCCCTATGTATATCTTAACATATGTGAAGTGATGTATGCGGTAGGATATCTTAAAATCATTTATGAAATGATGATCGCTGTATGAAATCATGGAGTCGGTTTTCATAATCACAATCAATTTTATGAGATAATAGACAGTCTTCAGAAATGAGCATTCATCCGTGACACCGAATGTCTTGAATTCAATGCCCTATATGGTTTAGATGCTCACTGCTACCGAGGTTTCCCTTTTATTATTACTATTATTATTATTATCAATGGTTTAGAGGTTGAACGTTCATGCGCGAGATCGGAGGTCTTGAGTTTAAATCTCGTGTGCAGCATAGTATAGGAGAAGGGAAGGGTGCTGTTCTGAGGACGCCGTTGCGGGCCTGGAGCTGAGGGGCAGGTCGGGGCAGTCTGGTGCGGCGAGGTGGCGTCTGGCGGAGTGTTCTGACGGGGAGGCATTGGCTGTGGCAGGTGCTGACGACGGAGAGGAGCGGTGAGACGTGCGTCTTCTGGGCGGACATCGGATGTAGATGGCTCAGCAGGCCGATGGAGCACGGGTGTAGACATCCCAAGTGCCGGGTGGAGGTCGGATGTTGGTTCCCCGGCAGGTCGACGGAGGTATGGAGGTCAGCGCGCTGCAGACTCGACATTTTGATGGAGTGAGTAGCACAGACTTCAGAAAAGAACAATGTTGCACGGCGAGCATGAACCACCGCAAGAACGACTACTTTTAAAGGGGGGACGAGTGTAGCGTGTGCTACTTATGTAGACATAAGTAGTATATGACGTGAGTCATGAACAGAATGTCTGGCAGCAGAGAGACGAGAAGATCGAACAATAAAGAATGAAGAAAGAATGCAATTTGTATGAAAATGAAAGAACAAAGGAATTTTGAGTCATTTAAGACAATTGATGAACAATTTTCAAATGAACGATTTAATATATGGTTGTTGGATTTAACTAACTAGTTATGTAATTTGGTCCCTGCTGGTGTTCTGTTCACTACGTTTACTAGTTTACTAGGAGTACTGATGTTATTCAATAATGAAGAAACAGAGTCAAATGCAAATACTATTACAGAATATAATATTGGAATACACTTGAATCACGAACTAGTTTTCTATTGATGGTTGACATTGAGAAAGACTCCCGAAGTTCCATTCCAAACCCATATAGAATGTGATTTAGTTATATCAATGATGAGGCAGATATCACTGAGATGAACCACTTCAGTTTAACTCAGTGATCTACAATTGAAACCTGATGATTTTGAGTTTACATATCGGGATACTGAATATGTACTTGATGAAGAATTTCACACTATGATAAAGTAGGTATACAGTACAACTTAGTTTTCATTTGACATTCTAGACAAGATCATTTCATGATGTAAATTGTGAAATGAATAATCTCTATCTTGTTAACTAACTAATCAATAGATGTAACTAGGTGACGTAGTAGGGGTTGACATACATATATACCTAATTACATTAAACTGTCAAAATTAAAGAAGACATAGTGAAAGTAGGATACTTCAAACCTGTCGTTAACTAACTGAAAGTAGTAGACATGAACAATCAACTTATCATTAGTGCTACATAACTTCTATTTTTGTCTCCGTTTAACTGAAGAGTGCTGCATGCTCAAGCACTGACTACCTAGGTGTTGTATGTTGGCTAATCCAGGAGTAGGTTGGAAGAAAGTTAAGGCAGCTGAAATCAAGACAGTAACATTATTCCATGTAGTGATAAATTGTTGAACTGAACTATGCTGTTAGATAAAGATTGAGATTATCATTACCAAAGGTTAGAGATGTTATCTGATATAGCTTACTGTGACACAAATGCGCTAAGTCATGGCTTACTGTTGGATTTTTTATTCCCTACATTTCCTGAATTCATTCTATCATGTTGGATCATATTATCTATGTCTTACTCAATTACGGAAGCATCGTCGACAAACAAGGAGGTTCAGGTGCAGACGTAAAGGCCATGATTGGCAAAGCAAAGACAGCATTCCTTCAACTGAAGAACATATGGAACTCAAAACAACTTTCAACCAACATCAAAGTTAGAATCTTCAATACGAACGTCAAGGCAGTTCTACTGTACGGAGCTGAAACTTGGAGAACTACTACAACCATCATTAAAAAAGTACAAGTATTTATACACAGTTGTCCACACAGGATACTCAATATCCGTTGACCGTATACCATCAGCAACAGCCTTTTGTGGGAGAGAACAAACCAGCTTCCAGCTGAAGAGGAACTTGTGAAAAGACGATGGAAATGGATAGGACATACATTGAGGAAATCATCAAACTGCATTACGAGACAAGTGCTAATTTGGAATCCTGAAGGGAAGAAGTAAAGAGGAAGGCCAAATATCACATTACGTCGGGAAATAGAATCAGATATGAAAAGGATGAATAAGAACTGGAAAGAGCTGGAAAGAGTTGCCCAGGACAGGGTTGGATGGATAATGCTGCTGAGCGGCCTATGCTACTTCACGAGGAATAACAGGCGAAAGTAAGTAAGTAAGTAAGTACTCAATTACGGATATTGGTAATACAACTGAGATTTTGCTATTCATTATGGTAATATCATACTGTCTTACTGATTTGCTATGGTAACATGGACTAATTTACATATATGTCTGGATTCTACGTTGATTATGACTGACTGATTAACTTAATGGTGTATATTAAAGTGTTATGGATATTTTTCCTTACAAAACGGCATATATATATATATCCGGGATAGACCACTATTGCAAACCTAGAACCACTGGATGACCGATTCATTCAAGTATGGGACTTCGTAAAGCATACGGAGCTAGAACCTAGGAACGTTGGTCTCAAGCGTGAACGGTTACCTTCTAGACCATCAAGCCGGTATCCAGTGATGTTGATGTTGAACTTCAATCAACCTATAATCTTGCGTAACCCTTCATCTATTATCTCAGGTAGATAATTATCTCCACCCGACATGGACTGAACTCCATTGGTCACGTCTTTTCATTAGAACACCAAGAAATCCATCCTAAAGCTAATCAATAATGAGCATATGATTATTATCAATGATCTAGAGCTTGAGCATTCATACGTGAGATCGGAAGTCCTGGGTTCAAATCACACCTGCAGGATCGTGAATGCACACCACTGAAGAGTCCCATACTAGGATGAAACAACCCTCAATTGATTCCAGGTCTTCAATAGTAGTCTATCTGAGATGGACTCATGAATTCAACTTGAATTACTAATTATTTCATTTCAATGTTTACAATTTTATTTTTCATTTAAATATGAACTATTTACAAACGTGATTTAATTCACCTCAAATATCAAGTTTGTTTTGTATGAATCAGGGAGAAAAAGTGAAAAGGGAAAATCAGCGAGTGAGCGAGCGATAGCAGGAGAGCGGGAGAGAATTGGAGACAAGTAAAATCACTTCAAATTGCGTGCATCTTGAGAATAAATCAAAACAAGTCTGAGTGTTTTAATGTTTCAAAACAAAAACATTGAATGAAACACAGTGAAGATGCTACTACTACTACTACTACTACTACCACCACCACCACTACTACTACTACTACCCTTAGTACTACTCCGACTACTCCTACAACAACAACAACAACAACAACAACTACTACTACTATTTACTATAACTACTACTACTACTTCAACTACTACTACTACTATAGTGATAGTAACAATATTCAGAGTAAACTGTATATATATGTAGGTATTTCATTTGCTATGAGAGGTATTCATTTGAAACAACAATGTCAATAATACTCTCTAGTGTAAATGACCATGTTAATTATAGAAACTTGAATAGAGTAGTTGTCATGCAATCGTATTCATTCAAACATTATTTACATTACATAGTATATAATTTAACTGAGTAGGCAATAGAGAAGAAGAAGAAGAAGAAGAAGAAGAAGAAGAAACAAAACATACTTGTGTTTCATAGATTTATTTACTAGAAAAAATATGATGAAATATGAAGAAGAAGAAGAAGAATAAAATGACGTTACTGAATTGAGACTTCATCTTTGCGTGTTTGTGTACGTGGATGGATAGACAGAGAGCACGCTCGAGAGAGAAAGAGAGAGAGAGAGAGCATTGACATGAAGCCTGTTGAAGTCGTGGACATGTTCTGCCAAGGAGTTTTATAGTGAGATGAAACATCTGTTAAGCACCTTCTGGTTTTTAATAGTTGTTTAGTTACAATAACTCAATGAATTCCCATACCTACTTACACCTATGACCCCTCATGGAGGAACATAGGCCGCCAACTGACATTCTCCATCCTACTCTATCTTTAACGGTCCTTTCCACTTCTTTTCAGTTTCTATTCATTCTTTTCATGTTTGCTACCTATTCTCGAAACAATGTGTTACTTAGTCTTCATTTATTCTGTTTCCATTCATTATTCCAAGTAAGAGCTTGGCTTGTGATGCAGTTTGATGATTTCCATCTACTAACAATTTCTTCACCCGATTTCCTCTTCAAATGGAAATTGATTCGCTCTCTCCCACAGTAGACTGTTACTTTTGGCATCCAGTCAACGGACATTGATTATCTTGTGTAGACAATAGTTTGGAAATACTTGTACGTTTCTGATGATGATTGTAGTAGTTCTCGACGTTACAGATCTGTATAGTAGAACTGTCTTGACGTTCGTGTTGAAAATTCTAAGTTTGATGTTAGCTGAGAGACAGTTGTTATAAGTTCCATCTATTCATCAACTATTAGAATGATGTCCTTACTTTCCCAATCCTCGCTTTTACATCTTCATCGGATCCTTCACGTTCATTGATGATGCTGTCTAGGTATGTAAATTTTTCCACCTTTTCCAGAGTTTCTCGATTAAGTGAGATTGGGTTGATGTTCTCCGTGTTTTACGTGAAGATATTGCTTTTTCCCTTGTGCATATTGATGTATACAGATGCAAAGGCTTCTGCTACTCTGCCTCCACGTGCATTTGTTGATGTGTATTGGATAGAATTGCCAGGAACGAATTTCCATTATTTCATAAAACAGTCTATACTAATAGTGAGCTGGATATGAACTGAAGTATTTTTGTCGATTATACACAATGTTTATTTATGGTTCTAAGTACATTCCAAAAAGCGATGGATAGTGGCTAGTGGTGGAATCTAGGACGCGCGTTCTGTTCTATTTAGGATTCATCAGTTGGTTGTACATGCATCCTAGACTTGTTGATATTCACTCCAGGCCTCGAACCCAGTACCGTTCGCTTACAAACACCATCGCTTTATCCACTTAGCTACTGAGTTCTGATAGCCACTCGCTTACACAAGCTTGCTATCCACTATCTATCTTCATATAGCAATATTTTACTTTTTAATTTCAATAAAATATTTTCTTACCTTTGCTAAATCCACTAAAGAGTTGGATTTATCTTGAAGTTCACGTTGTTTCACTTTCATTGTTCTTAATCTAAAATGAGATTGATTGTTTCAAACAAATTTAAGTTGATAAACTCAACTTAAACATATATTTTCAATAGTTGAGATCATGAGTCAATTGATGCTAGATCACCATGAAAAACCTGGAAGCACTATACAGCGGTCTCGTCCTATTTAGGGGTTCCCCAGAAATCTGCATCCACGATTCCGCCTGACGAGATTCGAACGCAGAACCTAACAGTCTTGCGAGCGAGCGCTTAACCACTAAACCAATGAGCTAGCTAGCATCCAGATGTGTTAATGTTTAACTTCAACTAATCCACGAAATTGAGCGACACAACCACCATTGTTTCATACTGGGACGAAACGGCCGTTCAGTGCTTCCAAGTTTTCCATAGTGGTCTAACTTCAACTGACTCACTATCATATCCACAAAAACCCCTTCCAATATTAAACATATATTACATCATGTAACTTATGTACTAGTAATCTTGATTGCCTTTAACAAGCTATTATGTGTGTATTTTTTTATAGAGATCATAAATCGATTAATGTTAAACGACTATAAAAAGACCTGAACAGGTATTTACCTCAGACAATGAAATGGTTGCTCAGTCATTCATAAATCGATGAAAGTTAGACATTAACCACGTTGGATCCTGGCTATGGGTTAAGTGTTTGCGTATGAGACTGAAGGTCTTGGGTTCCAATCCCGTACACAGGGTCGTAGATGCTCACTGCTGAGGAGTCCCATATTAGGACGAAACTTCTTCCATTGCTACCAGGTTTTCAATAGTGGTCTAACATCGATCGATTCATAATCTTATACAAAAACTTAACATTTGCCACAACCTCTTACTGGTAGTTTCTTTCAATCATTTACTCTATATTGTCTGACACTGAAAATAAAGAGTGACGTTTAAACAAATTAAGTTCATATGTATTCCTCTTCACCCCACATTGCTCATCTGCATTATTTATTGTGTGAACTATACGTCTTGACTTAATATTGAAGTACTGTAATATATGTGCTTTCACGATGAGATTATAATTTATGGACGACCGTTGAACAACACTAAAATGACCTTGGTATTTGATGGTGGTTGAAGGTAGTCAACAAGAAACCCTAAACCTAGGTTTCATGTTATTTAGCACCCGTTAGCAAGGTGTACCTGTAATCTTGAGTAAAGTGATGTTCCCTGATGGATTCGATCCCATGTCAGCCAGCTCCACAGTCAGAGACGTTATCATCGGACTATCCGGGCTGCGATGGAGCTCCTGTACTTACAATTGATTGATCACTGAGTGGTAATCAGTGTCATGTATATCAGGTACTCCTTAGTGCCTGGATAGCCTAGTGACAATGTCTCTGACTTTAAAGCTGGTTGACACGGGGTCGAATCCGTCAGAAAGCATTGGTTCCCTCATGATTACAGGTACTCCTTGCTAACGAGTTTCAAACAGCACGAAACCTAGGTCCAGGGTTTCCTGTTGACTACCTCTAACCACCATCTTATCTCAACATAGTGCATACAATGTCGAGTTACCTAGACCAGTAGCACATTGCAACTTGGTCGATAGGATTCGATCTACACTAAGAAGAAATTGACACACATGACACTGATCATCACCCAGTGATCAATCAATTGCTAAGACCGTGGTATATACACCTACTTACTATCGTTACATGAGGGTCATATATTAGTGTGACGGAATAGAATTATCATTCACAGTTGATAGTTAGGGTTACGAATTAGATTTAACCAAATTAGTGAATGAATTTCATGCCAAAATCCAAGATCTCCTACTATAAATTATGGTCTCACCATTTTTATAAATGTTTCTAAATGTTCATAGACATAAGATCTGATCGGCGTAAGTTCCTGAAGCAACTTTCTAATTTGTGAAGAATTAAAGTAAACATTAAGAAGGAAAACAAACCCGTTTTTAAAGGCACAAGGGAGCATTTTTTCATGGAAACAAGTTAGTTTACTTTTCAGTTGATAAACAATTTAAACCTATATAAGCAAAGATGGATGGTGACTAGAAGTGGAATTCGAGACACGCATTTCGTCCTATTTGTGACTTGTCAGCTAGATATACCTGCACTCCAAACTTGTTGATGTTCACTCCGGCACTCGAACCCAGTACCGTTCGCTTCAAACGCTACTTAGCTACTGAGTCTTGATAACCACCTGCTTGTATAATGGGGTGAAGATTAAGTTCATTTGGTATTGTTTGCTTAAATCTTCCCGTTGATGTTTAAAACTGCTATTGATTGACATATATGTATACTTTGTTCTAGTCTCGGAGTGCACATCAACAAATCTGGGATACAAGTACACCCAGCTAACGAGTCCGAAATAGCACAAGACGTTCGTCCTAGATTCCACGACTAGTCACTATCAATCTTCGCTGATAAAGCGTGTGACTTAAAACAATATCGGAGCAATCCGCACAGGATGTACATATGCCAATAAGAGACTGATCAATGGCAGTCCTAAATAACAACTGTAAGATACAAACAAACAATACCAAGTGAATTTAAAGGTAAATTTTTTATTATTGTTATTATTAATTACCTAGTAACTATACAGTTGGTTTTAAACCGAATCAGCACATACGTTGAAATCTACCAATCATAACAATGTCCTTCCTTTTTCTTAAACAAAGTGAATGAGTTAACCAATGATTATACACATTCATTGCATGAAACTTTAGTGTTAGTTGCTATGTTAAGCTTATATAGCTTATTCTAACTTCTGGACAAGCCAATTTATCCATTCACTTCAAGCGACATTTTTAATTTGTTATTGAGACTAGAATTTATGGACGACCTTTGGGTGACGCTTAAGTAACTTTGAGAATACCCACCTAATAATCAGTACCAAATGAGGGTTATAAACCAGTGTATAAGGAATTAGATTTATGGTTTTCATCATGAACTGACATCACCTCTATTTAGCCAAAATCTGAGACCCCTTTATCTTATACACCTGATTGATTCCTCCATTAACTACAGTCTCGTCTATTTGTTTATCAATCGTGACTACGTTCATGTAAGCGTATATGTGTGTGTGCACTTCTTATCCTATTCATCACATGCCTGTTACTTATTTTTGTTCGGCTATAAATATCAATTAACGCTTCGTGGTTAAATGGAGTCGGTTCACATGCTTTCTCCACTAAGCGTCATTTCCCTTCGCTCTCATTGCTTCGTTCCTCTTGTTATCTGTTCGAAACAATGATTGCATAATATATATCAGATGGGTTTTGTGGATATTATAGTAATTTCTGTGGTTAAGATCATGAATCAGCTGAAGCTAGACCACCATGGAAAACGTGGAAGCACTGGATGGCCGTTTCGTCCTATTGTGAGACTCTTCAGCAGTGCGAATCCACGACCTCGCCCCCTGCGAGATTCGAACCCAGGACCTACTCATGATCATATATATATATCCAAACATCCATCCTCGTACTCACCAACGCTATTTAAATCAGTGACCCTATATGAGGTTTGTCGACATGTGTATATTTCAATAACAATCATTCATCTAATCTAATTAAAGTCATATTAGATTACTAGATGTCTAACTTCAACCAATCCATAAAGTTAAGTCACTGTCCATCATTATCTTTAGTTAGTTACTATCTCACAACAGACCTAGTTCAACTTCATTGGTTACATTTTGAATTATTTCGACCGCCTCTCCCCCCCTGCTTCAAAAACAAATAAAAAACATACAAAATTACCTGTAAATAGCTTGTAAGAATTTACGTTGATGTGCTCGAACACGATGGGAATTAAATGTTGGCATTAATTTTGCATGTTTATATAATAACCAAGTTTCTCGGAGTACATTAGCTGCACAATGTTTAACCTAGAATAGAAGAAATTAATAACATTATATATATTGACATAACAACTTTGATCAAATACCTAAGCTGAAATGGGAAGACATGGAAACATTCATATATCTGTGGAGGATCATCGATGAACAAGAAGGATCTCTGATGTAGGTGTAAAGGCTAGGATTCATAAAGCAAGGATAACATTCTTACAGTTGATGAACATAAATGACTTGAAACAACCGTCTGTTAATCAATATCAAAGTCATAATCTTCAATACAAACATCAAGACGATTCCACTATATGGGGAACTACTACTGTGGTGTGTGCTACTTATGTAGACACTACAACCATCATCAAGAAGGTTCAAGTATTTATAAATAATTGTCTACACAAGATACTCAATATCCGTTGACTGGATATCATCAACAATAACCTATTATGGGAGAGAACAAACCAGCTTCCAGTCGCATGGATTCACAATGCTGAGGAGTTCCATACTAGGACGAACAGGCTGTCTAATGCTTCCAGGTTTTCAATGGTAGTCTTGTTTAGATTAACTCGTATCCACTTAGCTAATGAGTCCTCATAGCCATTTGCCTGCGCAACGGGGTGAGGTTTAGATTCCCTCTGAGGTGCAGGTACATCCAGCTGACGAGTCTTAAATAAGACGAAACGAACGTCCGACTATCTTTGCTTATAATGCTTGTGACTGAAGGTAATATCGAAGCGATACGCAATGAATGAACATATGCCAATAAGAGACTGATCAATTGCAGTCTTGAAAATCAACGGGAAGATACAAGTACACAATACTAAGTGAATTTAATATGTTCTGATAATTATCTTTTTATATTTTATTTGTAAGCGACTGTTTTCTTCTTTTCAGTATGGGGATTTGTCGTGATTGTATTATTTTGAAAATTCAGTTGACGATTCAATCTAATCTAGACCAGCATTCTATACATGAGAGCATTGAACGATGGTTTCGTCCTTTTACGGGACTCAGTCGTGCATATCCACGATCCTGGACGCAGGACTTGGACCAAATACGTTTAGTCGAGCTCGTGAACTTTCAACCTACAAACCACTGAACCGTCATCCAACGATGTTAATGTCTAACATCTGCTGGTCTATGATCTATTTTGAGTTTATACAACACATATTGATTTCACAGAAAGCATCCTTTTAATCTAGCAGTAAATTAAGTCATATGTTAAATATCACCCTGATATGCATCGGACATATTCATTTGTTCTAATTGACAAACTACAATAAAATGCTTATTCGTCCGTTTCTTTCAACAACCTTCCAACTGGGATCTGTTGAAAGCTCTGAAAACACTGAGAAACATCTTATCCAATCAGCATTCAATAAAAGTTTCACCAGAATCAACTAGAATGTGCGAAGTCATACGTCACGTTTCTGTTACTATGTTTAGTAGCGTTCCAGAACATTCCGGAATCCCAATGCCATCTGAACAGAAACAAACCTATGGAATAAGGCGTCTGTTTCATACTTCATACCCTTTTCTTTCATGTTTAAGTTACTGTGTAGAATCTAGCATGTGTGTATGGGAGGGAGAGGGATTACTCTGAAGAAGAGCTTAGGAAACTGAAAAGCTTATTAGAATCCATAAAGAAATGTTAAGACTTTCATTTAATACTAAGCTAATGAATAATCTTTCTCGTTAGCGTTTTTTCTATAGCGAGTTAGTTTTCTACGGAATTGGGTTACTAACCCCATGCCCGACCCTCCTCCTTTATCCGGGCTTGGGACCGGTAGTAGCCTCTGGAGGGACTCCAGGGGGAGTTTTATGCCAATAAAACACTAGAGTAAGAGGGGAATAATAATAATAATAACAATCAATCATACAATATAGATCATTATACTTTTTTGGTTAGTTTACTAGATTCCATAAAATGTAGTACATGTTTTTCAGCTTTAGTCATTTCTAATTTCTTTGAAAATACAGCAACTAATAATGCAGTACAAGCGGAACCCTAAAATTGGAAAAAAAAACCAAACAAATAAACATGGGTAACAACAACAAAAAACAATAATCGGAGGGGGGGTTTATGGATATTAATTTAATAGTTGTATTCATGAATCGATTGAAGCTGACTCAGTGATCTAGAGGTTAAGAGTTAGTGCATGAGACTGATTGGTCTTGGGTTTAAATCTTACGAGGCAGGATCGTGGATACGCACTGCTGAGAAGTCCCATATTAGGACGAAACGGTTGTCCAATGATTCAAAGTTTTCCATGATCTAGCCTCAGTCGATTCATGAATACAACTACTAAACAATTAAAGTTTATTGAGAAGGATTATGTGAGGTTATAAAGTTGTTTGATAGAATGATATGATTTCCAATGTTTATATGCTATAATATTAATGATAATAGCAATGCATAGTATTGTGAATGGTACTATGAAGATGGAATAGTAACTCAGTGGTTGAGGAATTCAACTTCTACTGTATAAGTCGTCAGTTTGAAAACACCTTTCACCTAGGTCGGTTAGGGTAAACAGATAGTATCATTAGCCAGCATACATAAAATATAGCTCAGAGTCAAGTGAATAAATCCGTATTTGGTAAATGGATTACCTTCATTATTGTGAGGTCAGTAGAAATAAGATAAGACAAAACTATCTATTTATTTGAACACATAAATATTCGAACAAAGAAGAACGGAATACGTATGCGCCACAAAAGTCACTTGATTTGTGAGTTAGCTGTGATATTACCCGGGTTCACAAACTAAAACAAGTAGTTTTCTTAGGGGGCCACACCTTGAGCCATTGACCTAAAAGTCTAATTTACAAGGCAGTGGAGCAACGTTAGCAGATTCAGTTCCATGGTAGCCGATGACCAACGATTTATTCATACACCATTCGTTCCTTCGGGATACTGCAGCTCATGTGCACCATTGGTTTGGAATCAGGGTTTGCTAACTCCCTTATGTGGACTCTTCATATCCACCAACCTGGTTGAAGCCCATTCCGGACATTCGCATTTTGTCCTCTTAAGTTCCTAAACACTATCCCTGCCATGAGAAGGCAGTTTGGATTTTCAAACAATGCTATGTAAGTTTATAGGTTGTAGTGTAATGAGGAACTGTTTCTAATTTAACTTGTAATAATTTGGATTACCCTGTTCTTGGAATTTTTAAACTGTGACTAGCAGTGGAATCCAGGACACATGAATCCTAGAGTGAACACCAGGTGCATCTAACTGACAAGTTCCAAAAAAGACGATCCATGCACACTCGATCAGGCTGCTAGACTTATTTCATGTATTTGTTTATGATCTGTTTTTAAAGACAAATACAACTCCTGTACGTCAGTTTCAACTTTTCAATTGTGTCGCCTGGTTTGTATACTCATCATCTGAGGAACTCAAGTTTTTGTATATAATAGATTAATAAGTCACTAATACCAGTATGCCTTCTGTGGGAGAGGACAAACCGACTTCCAGCTCAAGAGGAAATTACAAACAGACGTTGGAATTGGATAGGACAAACATTACGGAAATCATTAAGTTGCATCATGACGCAAGCACCTACTCGGAATCGAAAAGGAGGAACGCCGAAAAACATACTACATTGAGAAATGGGAACAGATATGAAAAAGTTGAATAACAACTGGAAAGAGCTGGAAAGTATTGCTCAGAACCGAATTGGATGGAGAGTGCTGGTGGGCGGCCTATGCTCCTCCAGGAGAAGTAACAGGCGTAAGTAAGTAAGTAAGTAGGTAAGTAAGCGAGTAAGTAAGTAAGTAAGTGAGTAAGTCAGTAAGTAAGTAAGTAAGTAAGTAAGTAAGTAAGTAAGCAAGTAAGTAAGTAAGTAAGTAAGTGAGTAAGTAAGTCAGTAAGTAAGTAAGCAAGTAAGCGAGTAAGTAAGTCAGTAAGTAATTAAGTAAGTCAGTAAGTAAGTGAGTAAGTAAGTGAGTGAGGAAGTAAGTAAGTAAGTAAGCAAGTAAGTAAGTAAGCAAGCAAGTAAGTAAGTAAGTAAGTCAGTAAGCAAGTAAGTAAGCAAGTAAGTAAGTGAGTAAGTAAGTAAGTAAGTAAGTCAGTAAGTAAGCAAGTAAGTAAGTCAGTAAGCAAGTAATTAAGCAAGTAAGTAAGCGAGTAAGTAAGTAAGTAAGTATGTGAGTAAGTGAGTAAGTAAGTCAGTAAGTAAATAAGTAAGTAAGTAAGTGAGTGAGTAAGTAAGTGAGTAAGTAAGCAAGTAGGTTAGTAAGTAAGTAAGTAAGTAAGTAAGTAAGTAAGTAAGTAAGTAAATAAGTAAGTAAGTAAGTAAGTCAGTAAGTAAGCAAGTAAGTAAGTAAGTAAGTAAGTAAGTGAGTAAGTGAGTAAGTAAGTAAGTAAGTAAGTAAGTAAGTAAGTGTTACTCAAAGATTGTTTATAGTTTCATTCATTTACTAATCTAAAGAATAACTTTAATAAAATCTAATCTTACCATAAGTCCAGTTGCAACAGCAATTAATCTACCACAACTAGTATGTGGTACAATATCCCCATAACCAATACTTAAAAATGTAACTGATATAAGCCAAGCTGAATTTAATAATGATAAATGATTATCTCCTTGTTCCCTATTAAATAAAAATAGAAATAAATAACAAAATAAAATATACTACTTATGATCGACTTCAAGATAGAGATAATCAAATATACATTATATGAATGAATGAGTAGATGAATGAATGAATGAATGAATGAATGAATGAATGAATGAATGAATAGAGGAATACAGATAATAAGTGACATGGAATTTGTCAATGTAAATAATGTCAATAAGATAATAATCATTGTTTACATAATCAACTTATTGTAATGTGTAATATTGACTTATGTTTAGGGATGATAACATAAGATAAGACAACAATTTAAGCTTCATTAAGTTTATATAGATACATATATGTTTCATAGGCGGCCTAATTGAATATCTGGGCTATTTGTTCTTGCTATCTGGATATTTCACACAAGTTATCTGTTTTCTTGTTTGTTTGTTTTAACACATCATTATGCCTATTAGTCTCATAACCTATTCAGTTACAAAAGAGCTTAATCAGAGACATCATGGTTACCGGCAATATGCATGGAAAAGGATATATATTTATCAGATATCGATTCTTGAACCGCTAACATGTAACTGGCGACCACTCAATATGTATCGTAAGGAAATGATCAAGAAATAAGAAACGGGAAACTTGTTGAAATACTTTGTGCTGAGAATTCTAATATTGTACCAAAACACATAATATTGAATAAAGCCACTAATAACAATAATAATAATAATAGTTGAGATCATAAGTCGATTGAAGCTAGACTATCATGGAAAATCTGGAAGCACTGGACGGCCGTTTCATCCTATTGCGGGACTCCTCAGTAGTGCACATCTACGATCCCGCTAACCGCGAGATTTAAACCTAGGACCTATCAGTTTCACGCGCGAATGTCTTAATGTCTAACCTTAATAAATCCACGAAATTGCACCATTCGGTATTCAATGATGGTTTAACAACAATCGGTTCAAGATCTCAATCAATAATATAATCATCTCCACAACCTTATACTGATATTCTGAGACAATTGATTGACAATTTGCAAATGGACTATTTACTGTATGGCTCTCAAATTCTAATAACAGATTCCGTAATTTTGTAGTCAATTACATCCGATTGTTCTCATTTGATGTTCTCATTCACTACAACTAAAGAACATATTCATAATTGATTGATCACTGGGTGATGATGAATGTCATGTGTATCAAGTCCTTATTACTGCAAATCGAATGCTATCGACCGAATTACAATCTACCCACTAGTCTAGGTGACTCGATACTGCGTGCACTATATTGAGATTAGGTGGTGATTGGAGGTAGTAGGAGCTGGTTGACACAGGATCAAATCCGTCAGGGAGCACTAGTTCCTTCAAGATTACAGGTACACCTTGCTAACAAGTGTCATGTAGCACGAAACCTGGGTCCAGGGTTTCCTATCGACTACCTCCAATCATCATCTAATACAATATATGCTCATCAATTCATTCAATCAACATGGAATTTATAAACAAAACAAAAACATCTAACTTACAATTCACAAGCTCTTAATGTCCAACTGAATATTATCCATATTGTTGTAATAAATACAAGTAATGCTTTCGCTGGACATAATGTCATTAATGTTTTCAATACAAATTGTAAATTGAAACTAACCTAATTGAATATTGTTAATGAGAATAAAAGAAAATAGAGATTATAAATTTACATTAACGGATTCAATAAGGATTATGAGAAATATATGTTAATGACAACTTACTTAGTCACTGACTTACTTACACATGTTAACCCTCGTGAAGGAGTACAGTCCACACAATAGGATTCTTCATTGAATTTTGTTCTGATCAGTCCTTTTCAGTTGTTATTCATTCTTTTTATGTCTGCTTCTAATTCTTGATACAGTGTGTTCTTTGGTATTCTACATTTTGGTTCCTCTTTCAGGATGATGATTTCGTGATGTATGTTTAATCCACCTCCAATGTTTTTACCTAATTTCCTCGTCAGTTGGAAGTTGATATGTTCACCATCACAATAGGCTGTTGTTGTTGACGGATATTGATTATCTTGAATAGACAATTTTTTTATAAATATTTGTACTTCTTTGATGATGATTATAGTAGTTCTCTACGCTTCAGTTCCAAACAGTAGAACTAACTGTATTGACATTTGTATTGAAAATTCTGAGTTTGATGTTGGCTGACAGATAGTTGTTGTAGAAATATTGACCTTAGTTTGCTAATTCTTACCTTTGCATCTTCATTGGATCCTCCTTGTTCATTGATGATGGAGTCCAAGGACGTGGGTCTTTCCACCTCTTCTAGATCAAGTGTGATTGGGTTGGTATTCTCTGTGTTGTATTTGAAGATGTTTCTTTTTCCCTTGGGTATGATAAAGTCTACGGCTGCACAGACTGTTAATTACTGTTACGTAAATTGTCATGAATCTCAATATATGGTTTTTGTATTATAAGTTATCCATTTAGGTTACGTTGTTATCTGTATATATGAAGGGAAGCTTGGAACCCAATCGCAGATGATGAACAGACTAGACATTTGATAGCCCTTCCTGGATATCAACATATTTTCATTTGATCATATACTGATCATAAATACTATCAAATAATACAATAAAGCTCTATCGAACCTTCTAAACGTTGCTTGTAACCGGTTAACATTTCCAGTTATCGATTTGAACAGGGTTAGACACCCCTGAAGTTATGAATATCAGTTCTCTTATCATAACATGTTTTTATTAAATTTAATAGATCCTAGGTTCGAATCCCGCAAGCGGGATCGTGGATGGGAGTCGTTGAGGAGTCCCATATTAAGACGAAACAGTCATCCAGTGCTTCCAGGTTTTCTATGATGATCTACCTTTTAAGCTAGATGTTTTAATCGTGAAGCTTTCATTCTCCTTCTAGCTAGTTGTTACGTCCCGATAAGCATAATGAATGGTAACGTTTGGGACTCATTTGTGGACCGGTACTATACGTATATTTTTTTATGGTATAATTGTTAAGTAACTAAACTATACATATACATGTCTATCTTATTATGAGCATTATTTTGATCTATGAACTGTTATTATACCATTTACTATTCTTGAATTATGCTCCGTCTATCAATTACTATTTCCCACACTCATTATATGGTACGATATGGTCTGTCTTGTTGGTATATAAACCCAGTTTATTTGAAATACATAATTCACATTGCAGAGGCTGAGATTGGTGTTCTGGACTTAACTGGCTGGGTTAGGCGGGAAGCAGAATCAATCAAGACTCTAGACTGCTCTTGTGGGATTACACGTCATTGGTTTGGTCGATAATTCACTGCTCTCTAATTGGCGGTATCATTACGTTATACACTAACAGAGCACACAGTCTACAAGTTATAACAATAGTATGACAAGCATAAACTTCAGACAAAAGTGATCAATTCCAGGTTTTTCATCTAGGAATAATTGCTTATTCTACTGAAACAATTTTTTCTAAAGCTCATGTTGACGGTGCTGTCTAAAAAGACAATCGAAGTTCTGAATCAAAAACAAGATACTCAACATCCATTGGTTGGATACCAACAGCAACGGCCTACTGTGAGAGAGAACAAACCAACTTCCAGCTAAAGAGGAAATAAGGAAAAGATGATGGAAATGGATAGAACATACATTACGGAAATCACCAAACTGCATCATGAGACAAGCCCTAACTTGGAATCGTAAAGGTAAGTGGAAAAGAGGAAGGCCAAAGAACTATGAAGTCTTCAATGATTGATTGATGTTTTGCAAATGAAGTATTTACTGTATGGTTCTTAGATTTTACTAAGGGATTCTATAATTTGGTGATAAAATACGTTTGACTGTCCCCATTTCTGTTCTCATTCACTACAGTAGAACCTTAAACCTAAAATGATTGAAACAGAGAATCCATCTGTTCCAACCTATCACCTAATTTTTCAACCACTGATGAATGTTAATTTGTGGATCTCACTCAGGTAGTCTTTAATTACTCAAGCGGTTAGATTAATAGTTAGTAACTGTGCTAAATCGAGGTCATATCTTGATTTATTCAATTCATACTCTCTTCCAACTCTTTCCTACACCAGTGAATCATTAAGATAAGTAATGATTAGGTATATGTAACACAAGTTCCAACCACCATAAACTCTAAATTTTTCAAACTTATCAACTGAATATCTATCGTTACCTTCTTTAAACACAACACTGTCTAGTTGATCAAATGATAACTGTATATGACTTTGAATGTCAGTCAGCTGCCTGGTCCTACGTTGCAGCTGACTGACTGACCGACTGACTGTTCATCTTGATTAACAAAAGTTCTGTCAAACATTCAGTAATATTAATTACAATAGTAATGGTGATTTTGACACTCTGTCACTTGACAAAACTTTCTGATATGTTTATATTTGGTCATATTACTATACTACCATTATACCTGACTGTAAGAAAGTCAACAGTATACTTTCAATAGTTGAGATCATGAGTTAGTTGAAGCTAGACCATCATGGAAAACATGAAAGCACTGAAAGGCTGCTCCGTTCTGTTTTGGGATTCCACCGCTTTGCGGGATTCGGACCCAGGATTTATCAGTCTCGCATGCGAGTGCTTAACCACTAAAACACTGAGCTGGTCGGTATCCAACGGTGTTAATGTCTAACTTCAACTAATCCACAAAATTGACCGACAAATCCACTATTATTCCAATATAATTCACTTGAACAGTACTCATCCACAAACTCACATACCGGACTCGAACTCAAGATCTTCAGTTTCGCAAACGAACACTTAACCTCTAAACCATTGAGCTGGCCAGCATCCAATCCATTTTCGTATATAATTTTCTTCAGTAAATTGTACTATGTCTTTTATCAATAAAAGAAGGCATATTGGTAATGATAATAATAGTAACAATCAATCAATTTCATTTGACTTCAAGAAGACGTATACATCAATTACATTCTTGATGTATGACCACTTCAAAATGACTTAAGCATCATAAATCATGGAACAATCGAAAGAAAGAAAGAAAGAAAAAAAGAGAGAAAGAGCTGGAGAGAATGAATAAAACACTCAAACTGTTTTTTTTCTTTTTCCCTTTTCTTTTCATTCAAATTAGTCAATAGTAGTAGTAGTAGCAGTAGTAGTAGTAGTAGTAGTAGTAGTAGTAGTATAATTCAATTTTGCAATAAGATAGATTAGAAAGTAGGTGAAGAATATATAGATAGATCATACAATAGTTAGTTTGATGCATAGAATAGTTGTGAAGAAATCAATCGATACAAACACTATACAGGTATTTACATCATGAATGAATCCCGCCCCCCCTTTATCTCTTAGGATATTTTGTTACTTCAATGAAATGAAACTATTGAAAATATGCCAGTCTGTGCAGACTCGAACTAATGGGTGTTTTATTTTCAATCTAAGGGGCTATTTTGAAACAATTAAACTGTGTTCAATCAAAAGTTGATACTACAGCAGGGGTTTAAGACTAAAATCAAATAGATGATTGGTTTCTTTCATTTGTTTTTTCATTACTGATACCTCTAAATGTCCTGGTACGGCCGATAGTGAAGAGAGTGAGATTTCCCTCTCGAAATGCTCTCTCATGGCCACGTTCATACAACCACTGTCATGGAAGACCTACTCACAGTTAATGTTCACGAAATTGAGAGGACGAAAAGCAAATGTTTAGCAGGGGCTATAACCGGTTTGGTGGATGCGGAGAGTTCACCTAGTGGAGTTAGAAAACCCTGATTCCAATCCAATGGTTCACATAGGCTCCAGGATCCTGAAGGAACAAATGGAGTATGAACCAATCGTTGGTCATCGGCTACCATCGGACTGTATTGCCTGACGTTGTTCCGCTGCCTTAAGGATCAGACCTTCAGATCAAAGGCCCTCTAAGAAAACTATTTGCTTCGGTTTAGGCACCCGAGCAGCCCTAACATAAATCAAATGATTTATGTGGCATGTATCTATTTAGTGCCTCCTTTTACAAATGTTTATGTGTTTAAATAAATAAATAAAATCTATAACTGATTTTAGTCCGCAACAAAATGATCAATAAATGAAGACTGTTATCGATTTTCGAAGATTTCAACTTGTACTTCGAGGAATTTATGCTGAAGACTTAAGTAGAAACTGATATTAGTCGGCGCAACGAGGTAGAGTGAATAGTGATCCATGTCTTATTCATGTCTTGCTTTCATTCATCGTTGATCGAATGCCATTGATAACGTTACATTTCAACTTCTAGTTTAGGTGACTTGACATCAAATGCACTATATTCTGATATTAGGTGGTTGTACGTAGTGGATAAGAAACCGTAGGTCTAAATGTGTTGCTGGTTGACAATTGTTGACAAGATTTATCGAAACAATTGACGGCACTGATGTTGAATTTTAAGCCCGAATCAATCAGTTTCTTGTTCCAAAATAGAATAGTCGGCAGTTTGATATGTCAGTCATTGACTGAACTTGGAATTCGGCTAGTATTCAAAACTTCTTTGAATAATCAACTCATGAGTTGAAACATTTTCTGTAGATATAATTTCGTTTACAATAAGCTCTTAAGTTGACGAAGACGATTTATGGCTCAGGTGGATGATTTTGATAGAGTTTTGTTCTCTGAGCTGG